AGGCCATTTTTTTTTTTTTTTATCAGCGTGACTAATTATTCCTCGGTTAACTGGCTAAATCGACAGGCCCAAAAGAAAATAGGCTAAATTGAACAGAGCCCAGAAATAGCCCAATCCAATAAACTCGACGGATTCAACCATTTCTTTCCAGCAACACAGCACTTTTCCCGTCCGAGATCCGGCCACAGGTCGGTGCTCTGCTAGGAACCATCGGAACCATGGCCGACGGTAAGAGCGAGACTCCAACGGAGAAGGAGACGCCGAAACCGAAACCGAGATCGATCGTGCGTCTCGGCATCTTCCTCATCTCTCACAGCTTTCTCGTCAGGTAGATTTTATCTCCTTGAATCTACATTCTTTCTCCTTCTAGTTCATATTTGGATTCGATTCAATCGCCTATAATCTACTGTTTCTCTCTTTAATTTGTTATAGTGTTGTTTGTTCCACTGCTGGTGTTCTGGCTCTGCTCTTCCTTCCTGTTCTCGCCAAGAACACTTACATCTCCGAAAATGCCCTCATGCCAGGTTGCTTCATTTCCTTTCTTCCATTTCCGTTCCGGTTTTTCTACTCATAACTTTGTGAATATGTGATTGTGGTAGTTTAGCTGGTTTCTGAATTCTTTTGTTCTTTAGATGTAGAAAGTTCAACTTAAAGTGCCGAATTCGGTCGTTTCTTTAGTTAGGTTGAATGGGAATTTGCAGTTTAATACTTTAATTGAGTTCAGGATGTTAACGGGAAATAGGAAGCTGAAATACCTTACTTTTCTCTTTGGTCTTTTTAATGCATTTGTTTCTTAGGTATTTATGGGTGCATTTATATTGTCTTGTTTGGCGTTACAAGAAATTCTGAGGGTTCAACTTTATTGTCTTGTAGGTTCTGCAAGTCCCATGATTTCTAAGCAGGAGGTTTTGGATGGAAATAAATTGGTTAAGGATCTAACCAACCTGAATTCTAAATATTTGGATGGGGGAATGTAAGTGTCCGTTATGAAGTTTAGGTTGCCTTCGCGTATCTTTCCTGTTTGAAAATATTTGAAGGTGACCTTATCTGAGTTTTTCAATTGCTGCTTCAGTTTGGCTTGATTTTCATACACACTTTAGAATTCAATACAACTTACCTTTTTGTTCCATGCTTTTACATATGGAATGTTGATGGGGTGCTTAATTTTTAGATTCTATTTCTTTGTTATTTTCCAACTTCATACTTCTTTTGGATGTTCATGCTTGTCCCTTCAACCACCTTCTGCATTGCCATTTCAGAGAAAGTCGGAGAATCATAGCAAAGTACATGTCAGACTTGGGTGCTGAAGTCAGTTATCACAAATTTCACCCTCAGTCAAATAGGTTTCATCCACTGCACTTTTTCTCTGATCCTGATTCTGGAGCTCAAGAACTTTAGTTGCTCATCATATGGCATCAACACTATTGGGATAATAAGCGCTCCACGAGGTGATGGGAAAGAAGCCATCATCTTGGCAACTCCTTACAATTCATTAAAGGGTGGTCTTCCTTTTTTTTTGGATAAAATGTAAAAATGTTATTTATCTGTAGGTATTGCATTCTCAGTATTTTCCTTGCTCAGTCACGTTACTTAGCTGGCAAAGGATATTATATGGATTGTTGCTGATTCATGATATGGAAAATATGCTTCTGTTGCTGCTTGGTTAAGAGATTATCATGTGCCTAAATTTAGCAGTCTGAGTTCACAAAATGTGGAGATGTGCCATGATGTTAAGAATTTTTACAAGTCAGAAGGTAAATCCATAACTGGTGATTTTAGACATGCTGGAACCATGGCTGCTGCTCTGGTCTTGCAAGTCAGTGATAGAACTGAAGAATTGGAAGACACAGTTAGCATTTATGCTGAGGCATCGAATGGGCAGATGCCAAACTTGGATCTCATCAATATTGTATATTACTTGGCAGCTCATTATAGGCAAGGTTTTCGTGTGAAGGTGGAGAGATTGTGGTCCCTACTTGACTGCACTTTGCTCAAAGTTTTGCGCATAATAATCGTATATGTGGGAGAAGTCGCTAGAAGATTAAATCCTGAATGGAAGTTTGGCATCCCTGCTACAGATTATATCGAAGGCACTGCTACACTTGCAAGTTCATTGTATTCTGAGGTAGCGTCCTCTTTTGGTTAGTTTATCTATTAATTTCCTGCTTTCTTCTCTTGGGGTGTTAGATGCCGAATATCTGGCACTTTAAGTATCAAATTGAAGGATAAGAAAATTAAGAAGTTGCATGTTCTTGCACTTCTCTATTACCAAGCACAGATTTACTTTATCTGTGTCTGTTGTCAGGCCCTGGGTGTTCCCACAGGTCCACATGGTGCATTTCGTGATTACCAGGTTGATGCTATCACCTTGGAGTTTTCACCCAAATTTACTTCTGATATGAAGGTCAGGCGCAATGATTTCTTTCTAAGAGGTGGCTGGTAAGTGCTCATGCACATCAATTCCTCTTTGTAACTTGAATTCCTATTACCAGGTGCTGCCTGAAATTTACAAAGTTGGGATGAGTCTTGCAGGATAAACCATTTTTGATACATGATTGTCACTTCTAAATTCAACTCCTGAGGATGATTTAAATGAAAGTTATTAACTGTAGTTAAGAAGTATTAGGAGTACACAAGTTTCATAATTTGCTTAGCATCTTGATAATTTACTGTTTCTCTCATTTTCCTGAAGGTTATCCTTCTGATTGATGTAGGTTTATCGAAGGAGTTATCCAGTCAGTGAATAACCTTCTTGAGAAGTTTCACCAGTTGTTTTTCTTATACCTTTTAACATCTCCCAATAAGTTTGTCTCGGTAGGAGTCTACATAATTGCATTTGCGCTCCTCATAGCTCCACTTCCAATGGTGGTGGCTTTTGTTTATATCATTGCCAATAATTCAAATTCTAGTTTAAAGCAGGAGAAGTCCACTTTGTCTCCTTTCCCTGCTGCTGATGAACACAGTATCACAGTTAGCTCATGGAGATGGCTTAATGCAGCAAAAGTAGTTTTTATCATTCACTTATGGGGTGTTGTTGTTTCCTTCCTTCCATATTTCATCTGCCAGATACAGATCACACCCCAACAACTAGCTTTGTGATCTGGGTTTTGCTTTCAGTGCTTAGCCTAAAGGTATTGTACTTGATCCTGGCTTCTCCTTTTCCCCATGCAAATACATCTCCACCACAAGGAGGAGATTGGGCACTCTTGAAATCAGTGACTATTGCAGCTCTCTTCATTGGTTTGGGACTCATGTCAGTCATTAATTTTGCTGCAGCAGAAATTGGTGCTTTACTGTTGGTCCCGACTTGTTTGTTGGCTCGACCTTTGAGGCTTGATCTTAGAGCTAGAAGTTTGAGAAGCTTTTCTAGGTTGATTTGTAATCTGGTTGTAGGGCATATTGCCTTTCCTCCAGCAACTTTCCTTGTAGTGAAAGGGGTGTTTTCAGGTTTTGGCAGCACTAATGTTGATGATTTCTGGAATTGGGTTTAGTCCCTTTGGGCATGGAACAGTGCTACATATCTCTACGTCAGTATGGTGTACCTGCCTTGGTGGGTGTTATGCATTCATATTCCATTTCATACTTGTTGACACTGCTTA